CCACTCCTAAATTCACTCCTTGGGTGCGTCCACGACCTTAATCTTCTTGGCACGATAGATGGACCTCAGGTATTTAGCCCAGACGACCATGCTGCTTCGCTTTGACTTCCCAAACGTGCCCATTTGCTACATACACACCTGAGTTCTTAAAGGCCCAAACTTTCTTCTATGTGGAAAGCTTTCTTTATCATGTCTACCTACAAAATCCTGCAAATCCAAGATCTTCCCTTTAGTCTTTTCTTCCCTGCAACAACTTAGATAAAATGAAGTGTTCCTTCATCTGTAACCAGGTGTCTGGACTGAGCTACAAGTCTTATTCAAGTAAGTCTTGAAGGTAGGACTGAAAACTCCCTGCCTATTCATGGACACTTTCATGGGTCTGTGCACCCACTGGTTTTGATGGGGAAGGAATCTAGGTGGTGACAGGGAGAGGACTCTAATGGTGGCCAGGGTTGAGGTTCAGGCAATAGAGCTAAGCCTGATTTGAGGACCTATGAGACCCGCATGGAGAAAAGCTTCCTCAAAGGAGGAGAATGGCTCCTGCTATATTCAGCCACAAGGTCTACAGGTGGGAAGGGGAGTGGTGGCTTCCAGGGAAGTAGAATGGCCATTACTTGAAATCACTGAAGCCCAGCTAATCTGTGAGTACATATCCACTCTAAGGGCTAAAAGTCTGCTGTTTTCAAGCAAAAACAGCTATTCCAATACTCTATTTGAAACCTCTTTAGAAAACTAGAACTCAGTGGCAGGAAGCCAATATTCCAACTAACAGAAGAAATAAGTCAATCTAAAGCACCAGTGACACATCCACCAATATCTTAGATGTAAGCAGCAGCAGCACCCGCAGCATTTAGATTAGACCCAAGCAGGAGTGGTAGAAAATAGCATGCCGAGGGCTTTGCACATGAGAGTGAGAAGCTGAGCACAAAGCAGATGCAGTGGGGTAGTTAGCGGTCTGGACCAACAAATAAGGGCACAGGAGGCCCATCATGGGTCTGGTTTAAAATGGGAGCAGCGTCTGGGTGTGGTAGCTCATGCCTGTAAAACCAGCACTTTGGGAGGCTGAGGCGGGCGGATCACTTGAGGTCAGGAATTCGAGACCAGTCTGGCCAACATGGCAAAACCCCATCTCTACTAAAACTACAAAAATTAGCCAGGCATGGTGGTGTCCTCCTGTAATCCCAGCTACTCAGGAGGCTGAGGCAGGAAGATCACTTAAGCTCAGGAGGCAAAGACTGGAGTGAGCCAAGATCATACCACTGCACTCCAGCCTGGGCACCAGAGCAAGACTCCATCTCAAAAAAAAAAAAAAAATCAATCAATTAATTAACTAAATGGAAGCAGAAACAAGATGAGTGAAGAAGAAAAGATGGAGGTCTATTATTAATAGGCTAAGATTTAGTTAGCAAAATTCAGATGGAAATGTTAAGGTGCGCTCCTTTGCACCCACAGGATATCCTTTGTTCTCTTGTTATTTGTGCACATGACTAGGGATTGCCATTCCTAGGTACCACATACATCTGTGAGATTGCCGCGCTGCAGAGATCCACACAGCAGAAAACTACTACCATGTGAGGCTCAACTTCCAGGAAACGATGCACTTAGAAGCTGTTGCACGGTCATTACTTGATACTGAGGAATTTCCACTGATAACAGGAAGTTATAGAAAGGATTCCTTGGTCCAGGGAAGGCTGCTTTAAGCATAAGCATATTTGAACTGCAGAATAACTTTTATTTAAAAATTTTGGAAAAGGGAAAGCTACACAAAGAAAAAAGTTTCATAGCTTGGAATGAAGATGGTTAGGAAGCTGTAGGAGTGTTCATAAATCCAAGCATTGTAGATGATGTTAGTTTCATCTAGCATAACGTCCAAACTGCTGCTAGCTAACAGACACGTATGCATTTCAAACTACGTGGATAGAGCACAGAACATATTCACTTTTCCCACATTTCCTAAAGAGAGCCAAATTATTCCAGATGCTGTTCATCACCTGCCTCTACTCAACTTCTTTTATTTGCAAGTACCACCTGTAGTGAAACCGTATTTACAGCATACTTGCTTAGGTTCAGATTTATGTGTTTAAGATTTACATGTTAACGTAGTTATATATTAATTCATGTTCCAATGAATAAATGAGAAAATCTCATGGATTCAAAATTTACATAATGTATATCATTAATTTCATGTTAAAATGAGTGAAGGAGACCATTTGCATTCAAGGTTTGAATAAAAATTAAATGCATGTATCATTCATATTTACAAAGGCATTTCAAATGACTGCTAGATTTTTTAAGCATGAATTTAATTCATGATGGAACCATCAAATCAGACAGTAATCTTCCTAAATTTGGGCAGAGAACAGCTCAAGAAGGAGGCTCTTCAAGTGAGAAGCAGTTGTACAAAATGTTCTAGAGTCTTCTCCTCCAGATCTACTTTTTCTTTAGATGTCTTATTTCAGTTCTGTGTCATTATTAAAATTATGGATATAAGTAATATTCCCCTTTAAAAATCCAACTCACAGCCAGGCATGGTGGCTTACATCTATAATCCCAGCACTTTGGGAGGCCAAGGCAGGTGGATCACCTAAGGTCAGGAGTTTGAGACCATCCTGGCCAATATGATGAAACCCCATCTCCACTAAAAATAAAAAAATTAACCAGGCATGGTGATGCATGCCTGCAATCCCAGCTACTCAGGAGGCTGAGGCAGGAGAATTGCTTGAACCTGGGAGCGGAGGTTGCAGTGAGCAGAGGTCCACCACATTCCAACCTGGGTGCCAGAGCAAGACTCTGTCTCAAAAAAAAAAAAAAAAAAAAAAAAAAATCCAACTCATCACTAACAAAAATAGAATGCCATTAACTTATTCCCAAAAAGATACATGCGTCTTTCTTTTTAAAGAAGACTTTTTAACTTAGACAGGAAATGTATATTAATATGGAAAATACAGAATCATCAGGAACCATCCCATTTAAAGCCGGGTGCAGCTGTACTTATCTGTAATCCCAGCTAATCAGGAGGCCAATGCAGGAGGGTCTCCTGAGCTCAGGAGCTCTAGATCAGCCTAGGTAACATAGCAAAACCTCAGCTCAAATAGAAAAAAATCAAGTTTAAAAATAGATTCACGGCCGGGCGCAGTGACTCACGCCTGTAATCCCAGCACTTTGGGAGGCCGAGGCGGGTGGATCACAAGGTCAAGAGCTCGAGACCATCCTGGTCAACATGGCGAAACCCCGTCTCTACTAAAAATACAAAAAATCAGCTAGGCATGGTGGTGTGTGCCTGTAATCCCAGCTACTCAGGAGGCTGAGGCAGGAGAATTACCTGAACCCAGGAGGCGGAGGTTGCAGTGAGCCGAGATCGCGTCATTGCACTCCAGCCTGGGTAACAAGAGCGAAACTCCATCTCAAAAAAAAAAAAAAAAAATAGATTCACATTTTTTTTAAGACAGTCTTGTTCCGTCACCCAGGCTGGAGTGCAGTGGCGAGATCTCAGCTCACTGCAACCTCTGCCTCCTGGGTTCAAGGAATTCCCTGCATCAGCCTCCTCAGTAGCTGAGATTACAGGCACCTGCTACCACGCCTGGCTAATTTTTGTGCTTTGAATAGAGAAGGGCTTTCACCATGTTGGGCAGGCTGGTCTTGAACTCCTGACCTCATGATCCACCTGCCTCGGCCTCCCAAAGTGCTAGGATTACAGGCATGAGCCACCGTGCCCAGCAATACATTTGCATTTTTAAGGAATCTAGAGATGTAGCAAAGAATTTGGAGATTCCCAGCTCTCCAGAGTTAAGGCAAGTACAGATGACTTTGGAGGGCAGATGTGACTTGGGTGTGCCTTCCGCTCAACACATGGCCCTGGCCGCCATCTTATGTACCTAAATGTCACCTGTGTTATGTTAGACATAAGAGACTGTCATCTTCCACCCAAGGGTGAAGTACAGAGTGACAGCCTCCGATTTTCCAATTTCCAAGTGGCCTCCAACTCAGTTTTGCTTTCCTTCTGAGCTGGCAAAAATGACTGGAAGGCACCGGTACCTGACCCATAAATGATTGACGGGCACCTGTGGTGACCCCTGTCACTCTGAAGCTGTTTCCTGAGGCTCACTTAGTTGAATCCATTCACCCCATCAGAAAACGATCTGACAAACCTTAATCATTTCAAATGCACATGACAATATCTTAGCCACACAGTAACTAGCACACCAATATTGCCAAATAAACACAGAAACTACCACATGAAATTTAATGAAAGTTGGAGTCATTTATGTATAACTAAATAAATAAAACATTCCATTAACAAAATATCCTTTTGTAAGGGCCAACCTGTATTTAGTTTCAGGGCATCACTTTGGAGGAAATGTGGCATATCTTGTTGGGTTTTCTTTAAATTTTATTTTTTATAGGGATGGTGTCTTGCCTTGTTGCTCAGACTGGTCTCAAACTCCTGAACTCATGCTATCTTCCCATCCTGGTCTCCCAAAGTGCTGGGATTACAGGCCTGAGCCACCACACTGAGCCATATCTTGGTTTTATTCATGTGATCTTTGGCATATTTTTATAATTCATAATTTAAAACACATGATTATCTAGGGCACAACTACTGCAGTCATATTAATTCCTGTAGTAAAAGTCTCAAAACTAAGCTTTTTATTAATGCATTTAAGCATAAGGTTTAAGAGATTTCCTAGAAAAATACAGATCTATAATAATTAACTAGGATACTTTCTTGCTGGAATACACATTAAGGTTTTGGTATTAACTATTTGATAATTTTAATTTATCAGTACTACCAAAATGCAAACAGGAAACAAAAACAGCTATCTAGCTATCAAGGTAGGTTTAAAAACAATTATATTTAGCTATCTTCATTTGCAATCTTCATCAGTAATGTTAGCCCTAAGAAAAGGTATCATTAAACCTGTTGTCAGATAGCAGAGTGGCAGAAAGGTAAAAGACATATCAAACTTTGAAAAAATATTTATATTTAAAAGAACACTTACTCTTTTGATACCCTCTAAGAGGATATATCCTGAGTTTTTCAATAATATCAACCATGATCAGGGAAAACAGAACCAAAGATACCGGCAGGTCAGGTAACCTATCAGGTAAGACATCAGGGGACCCATTAATGCTCTTCTGAACCTGTTTAGAGAAAATCATTTAGAAGCATTAAATTACAATTTAATTCAAAATGCATTCAACAGTCTGAATGCAGCACTAAATTAATTATAATTACATTTACTCAAAAACTAGGTTTTGAGCTTGTCAGGTTTTAAACTCCACAAGGTTTCGAACCATTTCTAAAGCCGTCATAAGGAAACATATCAATGGAAGCATATTTTCAGTTCAAGACAGACTTTAGTAAATACATGCAGAAATACAGTAGTGGACTCAGTGTAATATCGAAGGGGTAACTCCTTCCAACTCTACTGCTGAGCAGAACTTCTAAGAATCCATCCTCAAAGAGCTAGGGGGACAAATATTAACATGCAGGGTCTTCCAAGAAGGCAGAACTCAGATAATTCCAGCTAGACTTCGGAACACTTCCTTCATCTGCTTAAAGTATTTACAAAAAGCCATGGCAAGGCCAGGTGCAGTGGCTCACGCCTATAATCCCAGCACTTTTGGAGGCCAAGGTGGGAGGATTACTTGAGCCCAGGAGCTCGATAACAAGCTGGGCAACACCACCAGAACTCATGTGTACAAAAAGTTAAAAAATTAGCTGGGTGTGGTGGCTCACACCTTTGGTTCCAGATACTTGGGAGGCTGAGGTGGGAGGATCACTTGAGCCCAGGAGCTCGAGGCGGCAATGAGTCATGATTGTGATACTGCACTCTAGCTTGGGTGACAGAGCAAGACCCTGACCCACCAAAAAACGGAAACAAAAACAACAATAACAAAAAACTATGGCAAGCACTGTGTTAATGGTGAAATAGTGAAAGTTTTCCCTCTGAAATCAGGAATGAAACAAAGATGCCACTGTGACCATTTCTGTTCAGCATTGTCCTGGAGGTCTTAGCCAGGGTAATGGGCCAGAGAAAGAAATTAACAATGTAGGCTGGGCGTGGTGGCTCACATCTGTAATCCCAGCACTCTGGGAAGCCAAGGTGGGTAGATCACCTGAGGTCAGGAGTTCGAGACCAGCCTGGCCAACATGGTGAAACTCTGTCTCAAAAAAAAAAAAAAAAAACATAGCCAGGCATGGTGGCACATGCCAGTAATCCCAGCTATTTAGGATGCTGAGGCAGGAGAATCACATGAACCCAGGAGGCAGAGGTTGTAGTGAGCTCAGATCACACCATTACATTCCAGCCTGGGTCACAGAGCAAGACTCCATCTCAAAAATAAAAATAATGGTGTAAAATTGGAAAGAAGAAAAACAAAATACAATTATTCATAGACTATTTGATTGTACATAGAGAAAATCTCCCCCAAATGGATGCATTGTTTCTAAATACCAAAGACAAAAGAGTTCAAATATGTGAACTTTTAAAAATGTACGTGCTACTACACTCCAGCCTGGGGAGCGAGACTCCATTTCCAAAAAAAAAAAAAAAAGACACAATGCAAGCGGTGGTGAATGCTCCTTCTCGGGTGGTGAGTTCTATAGAGATGCTATAAAAATTAGTACAATCTGTTTGGAAAGCTGTTTGAGCTTATCTCTCACCATTTAACATTTCAATATCTCATGATTCATCAGTTCTGCTCCTGCATGTGTAACCAACAGAAATACGTACACACCAAAAGACATCTTCACAGATGTTCACAGCCACATTATTTGTAATTGCCAAAACTGGAAATAAGCAAGATGGCGACCAAGAGTAGAACATAAGTTAATTATGATCTCATCATATAAGGAAATACTCTACGCTGAAACTGAATGAGCTTCTCGTATTCAAAAAAACACGAATGATCCTCACAACCATATTTTAAATAAAAGAAGCCAGATATCTTTTGATTTCTCCTTGGAAAAAGTTCAAAAACTAACAAACTAGCCTGCAGTATCAGAAGTCAAATAAGAAGTGACTTCTGGAAAGGAGGGAAAGAAGCATGAAAAAAAAAAAAAAAGAGCAAGCCATGGGTTTTTTAATACAAAAATACAATAAAGGAGCATTGGTGTGGAGCTGGCCAAAGTTTCCTTCTTGACCTTGACCTGAGTGATTTTTACCTGGGGGGTTGCTTTGTGGTATTCCATGGTTACTATACTTTTTATGTGTTATATATGTTATACTTCGGTGAAAATTAAATAAGAAAAAAAGGGAAGGGGAGGGGAGGGGTGGGGAAGGGAGTAACAATGGGTGAGACATCATAAAATAGAACCAAAAAGGGCTATGAAGCTCCAGATGTGCCATCAGTTTACTGAAAGTTTTCTTGAAAGGTTGTAAACAGAATTTTTACAGCTTTTGCGAACCTTCCAAATGATTTACAAGGTCTTTGGGAGGGGAAAAGACAGATCTAGATGGAAATATTCATCTGTTGCAGTTCATTTGATGCAAAGCACACCTGTATGATCTCCCAAAATTATTTCACGCATTCATATATTGTCCTAATGCAGCATTATGACGGATTCTAGTAGCACCTACGATGCATTCTAACAACCATGTAATTTCTAATCTCATACATTACTCGGTACTAACCTGTCTCGTAACACTTGTGATACTTGTTCTAATTGCCTGTTTATTTTTCTCTCTAATGTCAGAAAATTATACCAGAGACTCTGCCATATTTCCTAAGTTCCCTATCCCCTGTACCTAATAGTGCCTGGCCTGTAATATACACTTAGTGAGTATTTACTTCACATATAAATGAAATATCATCACAAGGTAAATTAAGTAATTTAACTAACTTAAGTATGCTTTGGGGAAATTAAAATTATCTTTCACAGCACCTTGCAAATTAGTAAGATTAGTGGGCATTCTTCTCTGACCTTCTTAGATAATGAAGTGCTCATAGCCTGAAAATTCTGCTTAAAATATTCCTGCCCTGCAGGTGTCTATCCAAGACCTTTTGAAGCTATATTTGGTCAAAACATAAACTCAGCATTATTTTCAAATAAATAACACATGCAAATTATTTATCAATGGACATCTTATCAAGGTGTTACAACATAAGTGGTCCTTCCCTTAGATCGTGTTGTCATTTAGATCCCCAATCATTTAGAATTGGGGATGATCACAAAAAACATCAGGTTGACAGAAGAAAAAAATATAAATTACCTTTCAAATTTTTCACTTTTTAAGTGTTCAAATTTCATTTCTATCTCATACACACAAACACAAAAGTAATTTTTTAAAAACTAGTTATTAGACTTTCCTTCACAATCACAGAGGTAAAAACGATCTTAGTACTTTAACATATATTGCAACCTGGAAGATTGGATTACATAAATGTCAAGAAATTTGTTGAGCACACTGCTCTATCAAATTCCAATAATGAGAAATTATAAAATTTCAGAATCTTGTAGCAGAAGAAATCAAAATTCCATACCTCAGTCACTGCTATGGAAAAGGTGAGGGAGGGCAGTGTGGTGAGGACCACACACATCATCAGAACGGGTCTCCTAGCAAAGGAGAAAAAATAAGCCAAAGCAATCATGGACAAGATCGACAGTTCCTCTTACATGTTGCTAACTTTGCAGTTCCTGTTCCATTCATCTACAGTTTTTCTAAGAAGCTGCTGCTTCCCTATTTCCATTTCCCAAATGTTTGAGTATGGCACAGAGAACACAGGCAGAAACCAGAACGCTGCTTCTAGAACAAAGGAGTGAGAGATTTCCAAATCATTAGCAAACCCCAAACTATTAAAAGCATCAAATCACAAGTCAAATGACATTCAACATTTTCATAATTCGTTAATTAAAATCCTACCCAAGAGGTCAGGCTGTAGTGACAACTGAATAAATGAACAGCATGAATTTCAAGTTATATTATACCCCATGTTGGAAAATTTATTTTTCGAAAAGTACATTTAGAGATGATAAACTATTAGATACTGAAAGACCACTGAAAAACATTAATTTTTTTTTTACTGGAACCAAAAAAATAACATACATACCTAAAAATGACATAATTTTTCAAACTTGATTTTGGACCACTTCTTAAACCTTACATGATCAACCAATCAAATAGCTATTGATACATAATATGTATAAAATAGTATACCTTATGACAGATAAAATTTAAATGTATGTTTAGCATCCTTAATTTATGGGATGACAAGAGATACTTACTGAAAGGTTTTCTTCAAAGAAATATTTACCTCCTCTTTGATTTGTTAATATTATGTTAATTCCATTTATATAATTATGTTTTCTACATTCAATAATTTGTTGAATGCTTTCAAATTATTATTTCTCCACAGCCATATAAAAGAATGAAATCATGTTTTTGGCAGCAACATGGCTGTAGCTAGAGGCCGTTATCCTAAACGAATTGACTCAGAACAGAAAACCAAATACTGTATGTTCTAAGTAGGAGCTAAACGTTGGGTACTCGTGGACATAAAGATGGGAACAGACACTGGAGACCTTTATAGAAAGGGGCCAGAGTTGTAAAATTACCTGTTGGGTTACTATTCTCACTACCTGGATGATGGGATCAATCACACCCCAGACCTTAGTATCGTGCAACATACCAGTGCGACAAACGTGCACATGTACCACCTGCATCTAAAATAAAGTTGAAATTATAAAGAATAAAATAATAATAAAACAATTTCTCCGTGATGCTGTCTTGCCTCCCCCATCCCAGTGCCATCTTAGAAGTCCTAGGTTTAAATGTAAATTAGAAGATGAGATTGCCCCTCTCTCATAGCCAGACACAATACAACCTGGCTAAGACTAGTTTGATGGAATTTTCAACTGGTAGCCTTGTCTGTTTGTCTGAGCCTAGATCCAAGTTCCTACAGCACTAAGTTCTCTAAGTAAGATTGAACAAACCACTCATAAAGTTCTCTTCTTCTCAACTTGACCTCTAAACAATGACAGTGCCCCAGAGATTATTCCTGGGCCTGTTCTTTATCTATATGATCTTCCTGGATAATCTCGTCCATTCCCATTGCTTCAAATACCACTCATTTGCCCAGGACTCCGCAATATATTCTGGTGTTTTTCCTGAACCCTGACTTGTCTACCCAACTGTTAGAGACTTCCACATGGACGGCAAAAACACAATTCAGACTTACCATGTCCGAAACAGAACCCAAGTCTTCCACCATACCTGTTCCAGTCCATCATCTAATCCCATCTGATTTACTGCCAAAGTCCATTTCAAACTCATTTCCTGCCAACACCATAGTTCATCCACTGTCACCTCTCGTCTGCCATATTCCCTAACTGGTTTCCTGTTGGCACTTCTATTCTTACCTAGCAACATTGTCTTCATGCCTTTTAAATGAAGTCATGCTTTTAAAATGTCAAACACATCATGTTACTGCTCCAATGGTGAGGAACAGAAGGGGGTCATTGGTTAATGGGTACAGAGCTTTAGTTTTACGAGATAAGTCTCACGGATGATGGTGGCAATAGTTACACAATAATGTGAATGCACTTAATGCCACTGAACTGTACCTTAAAATGATTAAGATGGTAAATTTTACATTATGTGTATTTTATCACAATTTAAAAAAAATCTTTGATGGACACACAATGTGATTAGAATACAACTGAAACCTATTACACTAGTCTACATGCTGTATATGATCTGGTTTCTCTTATTTCTCCTACTCTCCTGCATACAGGCAGGCGCGCACGCACACACACACACACACAAATACACACGTGCGCACACGTGTGCATAAGTTGTATACACAGCTCTTATGACTACCTAAAAATCTGCTGATTCTCTGTTTACTGTTTGTCATCTTCCTCTTTTCTCATCCCCCGAGGTAAGTTCTGTGGAAGCAGGGACCTTCACTGACTTGTTTGTTACTTTATTTCCAGCATCTCAAATAATGTTTCTGAATCATTTTTTGTGTGATGAAACTTCTGAAGAATCTAGTGAACCCGATGAATGCTTCTCAGGACAACACTGCTAAATGAGTAAAATAAAATACACAGATTTTTAGAAAATAAACCCATTATCTTGAAATTATCCAAAATTTTTTAATTACCCAAAGCCTTTTTTAAAAATTGTATACAGTTTACAGGTTTTTTTTTTTTTAAGAATTATGTGGTAATCCAAATTCTTTTTAAAGTTTGATGTAACAATATATGTGTCTATCTATAAACACATTATCTTGTTTTATTTTCTTTGGAGCAGGCCACACCCAGTGGCTGAAGCCTATAATTCCAGCACTTTGGGAGGCTGAGGTGGGCGGATTACTTGAGCCCAGGAGTTTTGAGACCAGCCTGGGCAACACAGCGAAACCTCGTTTCTACAGAAAAGAAAAAAAAAATACAAAAGTTAACCAGGTGTGGTGGCATGTACCTGTAGTCACAGCTACTTTGGAGGCTAAGGCAAAAGAATCCCTTGAACCCCAGGAGACAGAGGTTGCAGCAAGCCAAGATAATGCCATTGCACTCTTGGGCAACAGAGCCAGACCCTGTCTCAAAAAAAAGGCGGGGGGAGTACTTAAGATCTAGCAAAAATTGTAATCATTCATAATTTCAAGTTAGTGAAGATCATAAACCACATACTGAAGTCTCTCCTACAACTGTTGTGTGATATGAAAAGACCTGTGATACATGGTATAAAAAGCTCTATGTAATAAAGTTACAGGTCCTGCTAACACTTCTGTGGTTTGTTACCAACATCCATATCAGAAAAGATTGATAGTTTTCAATTAGAGGTTAATGAAAGAAATGATGTAAATTGTTTCTCATCCAAGTTCAAGAACTCCATGAAGCTAGAGAATGTCCAACACATAGTAGGAATTCAAGAAATACTAAATGAATGGACTCATTAGTAAATATATAAAAACCCAAGTGTATGTTTTATTTAACTAGAAGATATGTTAACCTATGTTTGAAAATCTTGACTTACTGCTAGGATATACTTGTAATTTTTTTTTTTTTTTTTTTTTTTTTTTTTTTTTTTTTTTTTGAGACAGAGTCTCACTCTTTTGCCCAGGCTGGACTGCAATGACGCGATCTTGGCTCACTGCAATCTCTGCCTCCTGGGTCCAAGTGATTTTCCTGCCTCAGCCTCCTGAGTAGTGGGATTACAGGTGCACACCATCACACCTGGCTAATTTTTGTATTTTTAGTAGAGATGGGATTTCACCATGTTGGTCAGGCTGGTCTTGATCCACCTGCCTTGGCCTCCCAAAGTGCTGGGATTACAGGTGTGAGCTGCCACACCCGGCTGGAAATGCTTATAATTTATTGAGTGTTATGGATCAGATGGTGTCTCCAAAAGAAGATATGTTGAAATCCCAAACCCCAGTACTTCAGAATGTGATCTTATTTGGAAATAAGATGTTTACAGAGATAATCAAGTTGAAATAAGAGCATTAAGGTGGGTCCTAATCCAATATGACTGGTGTTCTTATACAAATGGAGAAATTTGGTGACAGAGTTGCAGAAAGGGAAGACTATGTGAAGAAACCTAGGAAGCATACAATGTAATGAAGACAAAAATCCGAGTGTTACAAGCCAAGGAACCATCAAAGATTACCAAAAAACCACCAGAAGCAAGGAGAAAGACATGAAACAAATTCTCTCTCATATCCATTTGAAGGAACCAATCCTGCTATCTTGATCTCTGTGTTTTCACCCCTGGAACTCTGAGGCAATAAATTTACATTACTTAAGTCATCCAGTCAGTAGTATTTCCTTATGGAATTTCTAGGAAACTTACACTGATTTTGTGATTGGAATGTGGAATGCTGCTGTAACAAACATCTAAAAATGTAGAAGTGGTTTTGGAATTGAGGGATGAGTAGAGACCCGAGAGAGTTGTGAGATGCAAGACAGAAAAAGCCTAGATTGCCTTGAAGAGACTGTTGGTAGAGACACAGGTGTTAAAGGAGATTTTAGTGAGGGCTCAGAAAGAAAAGAGGAGGGTTATAGAGAAAGCTTTCAGCACCTTAGAGAATAGATATATTGTTATGAACAGAGTATTGCTGGAAATATGAATCCTAAGGCGCTTCTGGTGAGGTTTAAGATGGAAATGAGGAAAATATTATAGGAAACTGGAGGAAAGGTGATCCTTTCTATGAAATGACAGAAAATTTGGCTGTACTGTGTTCTATTGGATACAAAGTAGAACTTGTAAGTAATAAATTCAGATTTTTAGCTGAGGCTGTTACAAAGAAAAGTGTTGAAGGCACAGTCTGGTTTCTTGCTGCTATTTTATAATAAAATGTGAGTGAAGGAAGAGAGATAAACTGAAACAGAAACTTTTAAGCCAAAAGGAATTAGAACTTGAAAATTTGGCAAATTCTCAGGCTATCCATATTGCAAATGTTAAGAAAGCACGTTCAGAAGCGAACACCAAGGTTATGGTTTGTGAATCCAGCCAACCATCTCAGCAGAAACACCACTGGCTTGGACTGAAGGTGGCAGACGAAATGAAGAAATGCTGTTGTACTTCTAGGACTTTAGGGAGGAAATGGGTTGAT